TTCTTTCGAGGAGGAAGACGTAGGATGGATTTCGGGCGTTTGATGTTGGCTTTCTCATCCTGATTCACTTCATTTCGAAGTTGTGCTTTTGACTCATAAAGATAGCTTATCTCTCACTGATTTCTTTGCTCAGGTTTGTGGCCCACATCAACAAACTGCCGGGTGCTTGGCGGTGCTTGGCATCCGGCCTCCCAGGGCGTGGTATCTTTGATCATTCTGTATTTGCAGAAAGACCACGACATGTGGAAGGCCTTCTTTAAAGCATAACCTTGTATAGTGATGGCAACAGCTTGATTCACCTATCAACAAAACATGGAAGGACTTTCGGTTTGCGCTGCAAATAGGATCTCCAGATGATCTGGTGAAAAGATTGAACGTCTGTGCACCCTATTGGGCCAAAAACAGCATTGTCCAGGTGTAGCTGCACTGACCAGGTGTACGTTTTTCCCGACTGTGAATATCCTGTTTGCTGTTGGATCTCATGTCTTTGAAAGCCAGAAGCGGTTGCTTCAGGCCGGATGATGTTTTGCGCTCGGCTGAGCTGGCGCTCTTCTGCAAACGTCCGGATGAGGCCGGTGGGCGGGTTCCCCGCGGTTGGTCTCAACAGATTCGAAGTGGGTTGAAGATCGTCATCCCTTGACCTGAGACCTTTCTAAGACCCTTCATACGGAGGGTCACACATGGAGGGGAGGGTCTTAAGATGGACATGGACAGACTCTTCAATGCCCTTGAAAAGGCACAAGGAGGCCCTTCAGATGCTAGAGAACCGAGGTTTACAAGTGGCAGAAGACCATCTGGAGTTTTCCCTTCTTAGCCACTGCAACAAATCGACATGTGAATGTGATACCATGCCCACGATACTTGCACTATTGAGTCCCACAGGTCACTTACCACTTATACTTCACAGGAGGCAGTTCATACCTTATGGGCGGTGAGTCTTGAACATTCTACATCACATACTTTGCGTCCTGGCCACCTCAAAGTCAGTTCTCGACAGGAGGCAGCGACTAGACAACAGTTCTGGAAAACTGGACACAACAGTGCTGTGAGGCACTCAACATCTTGCTGCAAAACAAGCGGATATATCGCGCCATCAAGTGCTGTCCCCAGACCAATCAGAATTTACATATTACAAAAGTCTTTGGACATCATTTCAGCTGGTAGATTTTTCAAGATAGACAGTATAAAGGCATGGACTTCAGGTGGCCGTGGTAACTTAGGGGTGGCTTGATGTCTTGTCCATCCAAGGATGAACATCCGCCTTCACAGATGGAATGATGCTCTGGAACTGGTGGGGTTGCAAGTCGAGAACATGTGCAAGACATTTCAACATGCAAGTAGAGGTCACTCGAAAGAGACTTGACTTGAAAGAGACTTGAGAAATCGGAACCGATCCTGAGCTAAGGAATTTTAGTCTTCGCATGTCACTCTTGTCCAGAACTGGCTTCCTTTAAAACGATAAAGAGCTGAACAACGATAAGCTTTCACCTGTTGAACTTTTGACCCTGTGTTCAACAGTTCAACTAGGTCGAAAACAGGGCACGTCACCGGCTACGAGAAAACCGCAAAAAAACGATAAGATCCAGTCCATCCGCCATAATTACCCTATGGTCCTCACAATTGTTTGATCTTGCGGACCGAGCCTGCCACAGCATACTGTCACTGCCCCAAAAGGAACCGTAGTAAGTAGTAAGGCAACACATTCGGCGCGCGGTGTTTTTGATTGGGGGAAGACCACCGATAACGAGTTGAAGAGACGATACCGTCCGGCAAAAAGCAACATGTCCGGCCGACCTGTGAGGCGAAAAAGCACCAGACCCATGTGGACACCGTGTTAGCTTATAGGCAACAGCATTTGCAACAGATGAAACATGTGCTGGCCTTAGCAGTTTGCCTTTTTCTTTTTCTGGGTTAAAGCTGAATGTGCTGCATCCTTGGGTTTGCCATGATTGCCCAAAACTGACCGCACCAGAAGTGCTTTTGGAACGTGCAACATAGACGGCTTAGATGGGGCCTTCTCCACCGTTTGAATCAGCTTCTAGAGTGCACTTTCAGGTGGAAACAAATGACGAGTTTAAGCAGTGGGCCGGCGAGGTTGAAGTGGCAGACGCCTGAGGTGTCTTTGTTGTAGGTTGGCTTTGGCTTTGACTTTGACCCATTGGACTTTGAGCTCCAAAGCATGGAGAATTTGGACATCCTGAAGACATCTTCTTGAAGTCTTTGACCAAAGCAGTGCTTTGAAGTCTTACTTTCACTCAGTGCTCAGGACTGGGAGACAGTCAAGAGAAAGATTGCTATGGAGAAGGACCGAAGCATACCATTCATTTGTGTGGTCATAGAGGGCAACCCAGTCTCGGTCAAGGACCAAGAGATCAGAGCTGCAAATGGTGAAGTGGGTGGAGCTTGACGAAGGTGCAGGTCGGCCTGCAGCCTAGTCTATGTGGACAGCTCTTGTGTGGGAAGCTGCCTCGCTGCAAGAAATGGTTTGGGGTGGAGAGCATTCGGAGATTATCCGTGGAGTCCACAGCAGTCCCTGCAAGAAGTTTACATTTGCCTAATTGATGCCAAATGGATTTAGTCAAGGCAGCCAAGTCTAGCCCAAGAATTTGCTTGGAAACTGACCCTTCCCCGAGAAATCGTCTTGCTTCAGACAAAGACTTGCCTTTTGCCGAAACAAGGTCTAATCTGTGCTGAGGCCACCCCCTGTCTCACCACAAGCCAAGAGCTGAGCTTTACATGGACCGCACGGACTGCGCCTTTTCGGTGTTTCAAGATTCAAGCAGTTACAAACCCATTTGTGGGCAACGTTGCCATTATCACCAGGCGTGATCAGTCACACTGGCATTTTTTGCTCCTGGAAGGCCTTTGCTCTTAGGAGTCAAAATGGTACCACTCTAAAAGGAGATTTGTTGCGTTTTGTCCCTGCACTTTTTGACTGCACTAGAATTCAGGACGGAAGGAGGTCTTTGGAGGGTGCACAAGTTGTGGGCTCCAGCTATGACTTGGGCTGGTTGCATGCTTACATCTAGATTTTACAACAGGACACACAAGGACTTTACCAAGAACGAAGCTACTAGGGGCTCCTGGCATCGCTAATAAGAGCAAGGACACTCCTGGCCTTACTACCAGGAACAAGAAGCTACTAGGGGCTCCTGGCCTTACTACTAGGAAACGAACAGAGAGCTTTGGCTTGAACACCTAATACACAAAAGGTTCGTCAGGAGAACACGCAAAGGAAATTGCAATCTCAGGAGTTGGAAGTTGAAACACACATGAGCAAAAGAAAGAAACAACATAGAGAGGATATATCTTGAAGATGTTTTGTGCCCAAATCCGCGCTGCAAAGAAAAGCGCTTTGTATGGTAAATCGTTGAAGAGCATTCGGCATTCTGGGCTGATATTCGATAGGCTGTGCGGCAATCAAAGCCTAGATTCGTCTGTGGTTGATCCATGTTCCAATGACTTCACGTTGACCAATGACCAATAATTGACCCAATGGACCCACTGACCCATTGACCAATGACCCATGTCAAAGCATGTACGTTCGCGGTGAGTTGAGCAGTGTTGGGTTCCGCTCTCTTTCGACTGTCCTGCTGATCGTAGAACCCTGAAGTTTGAGGTGTTTGGGCCATCCAGACCTTTCAATTTGCACTTGTTCCTAGTAGCGATGCACTTGTTTCTAATAGCAAGGCACTTGTTACTACTAGTAAGGCACTTGTTACTAGAAGCGATGCACTTGTTCCTAGTAGCGAACATGGTTTCTAATAGCTTCAGCCTAGGCCAAGCATGATGAGTCCAAACATGGCCGGCTTTTAAGTTGCGTAAGGCCCTTAGCGGAGGTGTTTCGTTTGGCTGCAGAGGTTCAGATCTTGACAGCGGGCATTCTTGAATTTGGAAGAACTATCTCCTCTGGCTTTCGACACAGCACTTTTGGAGGAAACAAGTGCATCCCAGTGTGCATTGTTGAAGATTGTGGAAATCATTTGTCGGACCTTAGATGCAGAAAACAACTTGCTTGTAAACACCGACATTTGGTGTGGTTGTCATTGTCATGCACCATTCAAAGGAAACTTAGATTCTGATTTGGCTAACCACTGACCGCTGACCCTTCTCAGCTAGCTTCCCAACTTTAGATGACATCATTGAAAGGCTTTTATTTGTCATTGTCCCAGCCAGGCGAGCAACAACTAGACCCTGCAATGCCCGACTGACGCCAAATCGGTGCTCAGGGGTGGAGCAGAGTCTCCGCCAAATGTTCCACAAAAGAAATCCAGGAGACAGATAAGATCTATGAAGTTGCACTGAAAATATCTGAACATATATTGGTTGTTTTTGTGTTCCTTTATATAGATCTGCAAGGGGCTACTTCAGATTTCCAGCCCTGAACTAACAATCCATTCAGCATGTCTTCATGGCAAAACAAGGTTCTGCTGCAAGAGCGACAATGAGAAGCGCTTCAAAGCGGTGAGTGTTTTCGTGTGGATAAAACCAGGTGAGCATGCAGAATTCGCAGAATAGGGGGTCAATTGATCCCGTGCATGCCTGCCAGCTTTTGGGCAGCCTTTGCAGAAAATGAGGCAAGTTTGCGCTCCCGCCTGCGCTCGAACAGAAACTCGACAGCTTTTGATGGGTGTTTCATCACTTCTGCACGTTTTCGCGTTTCTGCACCGCGAGAACTCCCCTCACTCAGATGTTGATTGGGTCCTGTGAAATTTGGTACTTGGTAACAAAGGAAGGCACCACCTAGCTCGTGGTACCCAAGATGGATCCAGCATCTTGTCTCTTTGCATCATGCTGTGGTGTCCTTTTGTTGAGAATCCCATTGCTGTTCCTCCGCCACGATTTGAGAAGTGCAACAAACAAACATACTTTTGTACTTTAGATGAACAACGTACAAAACACAAACTATTCCAACCTCATCGTCGCTTCTTTCCAAGTCTCCCCAGGTTCAAAACAGGTGGCACATACTTTGCTTTACCTCAGCAAGGCACCCAGCTTCCCACGCTCTCAACCCGGAATCCAGTGAGTTCAACAGTTTGACCTGCCGAATCCCATGGTCCGACCTGCTCCTCCTCGCTGGAAGACGCTTCGAGGCATTGAGGGCCTAAACAGAACGAAAAGGATGTCTAAGACCTTTGGTGGTTGCAAGAAATTGGCAACCTCACAGACTTGTGTAAAGTCAAGACTTAAATACAACAGACTAATTACGGAAGAAACCAACAAAAAAGAGACCACCAATGTTAAAAACACACACAGCGACCCAGAAATGGCAGGCACCAAAGCCAAAACATCAACCCTGCACGAACATTAGCACAGGAAACCAGGTTTTCCAGGGGAAAAAAGTACACCTGAACGTTCAAAGAAGTCACAACTCTAAAAACATGTTTTGTTTCCTTGCAGAATAATCTGTGAAGGTTGCTAGTGGTTGTAGCCGGTCTTTGCATTTTGTTTATATATTAATGCATCCTTTCTGAGTCGAATAATCGGCACGATCCCTTTTCTGTTTCTGAAAAATACAATATACTATAGCCTCTACTTGGTTAGTTTTGTTTCAACAAACATTGACATGAAGGCCGGACGAAGGTAATCCTGTTGATGGTTTGCATAGTTTTGGGGGATCAAGTGTAGCCATTGTGTGGGACTTGCATAAAGCACTTCTGCGTGTAGACACAAATGTAATAGAATCCTAGATTGAAGGCCAATTACCATTGACCCCTGTTTTTACAGGCCGAGATCCGTTGTCGTTGCCAGGTGTCCTTCTTGGGGCAGTCATTTGTCAGCGGCTGCTTCATTCCTCCACCTTTTTGGAAGGTGCGTCATCACAGTCACATTCCAATGATGCATGGAACACGTGGTGATCATGATTGACATGAATTCAGTGCCTTTGTACTATGTACTATGTGCTTGATCGACGAAGACAGTGTTTGGTTGCCAGAGCTATGAATATATCCACTTGGAATCAAGAAAGAACAGAGCAGTCAAAGAGCAATCAAAGAGGTGACTGTTTCACTTGTTATAATATAGGGTTCTTTTGCAATGTCAGAACGCACTTGAGTTGGGCTCTCTTAAGCATCTAAGAACCATAAGAACCCCAATTAATTGCAACGCAGACCAAACCTCCCCGCTGGCCATGGCTGGTGAGCCAGACGTCCGCCGGCGTGTCCGGCCGCTCTCAGTAAGCGGTCGGGAAGTGTCGGAAAGCAGTAGCCACTACAAACTCTTGCAACAGACGCGTGACTATGGCTCAAAGTTGATGCAGGTGGAGCCCGTTTGGAGCCTATGCATAGGAATGAGCCTGTACATAACTAGGCCAACTTCATCAGGACCTCGTGCACTTTTGAAATGCCATTATGCAATATCTCTAGCTTTTGGAGGTCCTCTCAAAAGCACGGAGCTTTGTTAGAACTTGGGCCACCATGAAGACAGCTTGTCCTGTCTCAGGTGATGAGGCCAGATGGACGTGGCGGATCGCTTCAGCTTCCTTTCTGGTGGCCCTTCTCTCGCTTGGAGCATTCCTGTCCTGTAGTCGCACTGAAGAACCGGCGCTCACCCAGTTTCCTTCCGACATGGAAGAAGTCACACCTGGCTGGGCTTGGACAACAGTCCCAGCCATCGTCCGACAAGAGCGGTCTTTGCAAGCCGGCACAAGAGACTTTCTTTTGGCGTTCTGATTTCAAATGATTTATAGTTTCCCCGCTTCTGCTTGATGATTTTCTGGGCAGTGACAGACCTCCGTCAACCCTGTACTCTTGTTTTCCCTGGGCTTTTGGGCTCTCTGAGGCAATCTAAGAAAGTGGGCATTGTTAAAGCTGCAAGCAGAGTTTTGGTGAAGGAAGTCCGGGGAATTCGAGCACGGATCACAGAGCCTATGGCTGGCTGGATCTCATGCGTGTCTGGGAATGTGCAAGTGGTCACACGGCACGAGACTGATGAGCACATCAAGAAGGTGAAGAGGGAGGTTATGGCCCACCAGAAAACTCAGAGGGATTTGCTCACAGCTCTTGAGAATGTCAAGAGGAAAGGAGGCATACATCCGAAACTCTTTGGCAAGGTTAGGCCGCAGAATGAGTCTGCAGAATTCGACGGAGCCTTGTCGAAAGCAAGTGTTTGACTTTCTTGGCGTTTCAGTTGCAGTCCAGTCAACACTCTCTTGAAAGAGGACACATCATGCCAAGCTTTACACGTTGGTTAGTGACAGCTTTAGTGTTTGCACCAATGATGGTTGAATGATGATGATAAGAATAAGCCAGAGGTTTACCTACTATAGTTGACTTTGGTTGGTATAGGAGTTGATCTAAAACCACGTGTAAGGAGCTTTATAAAAAAGCCTTTCAGATGTTAAAACCATCCGCGAAAGATTCGCGATGATGTTCGCGAAAATATTTTCTTTTTGTGCCCCAATAGCTAGCCATAGCTGATAGCGGCTGGGCGCCGTCGGATCCACGACCCCCGACCTGGGCGGTGGTCTTGGTCATGATCGGGCGGTGTCTCGCTCATGTTTCACTGGTACCTTGGTCATGTCGAGGTGGTGTCTTGCCCAATGTTTTAAGGGTGTGTCGGTCATGTTTGGGTGGTGTCGCGGTCATGTTCGGGTGGTGTCTCGTTCATGTTTGGGTGGTTCTCGGTCATGTTTTGCTGGTGTGTCACTCATGCTTGGGTGGTGTCTCGGTCATGTTTGGGTGGTGTCTCGGTCATGTATCCCTATGTCTTGGTCATGTTTCGGTGGTGGCATCTTGCTCATGCTTGGGCGTCTCGCTCATGTTTCGTGGGTGTCTCGGTCATGTTTCGCGGTGTCTCGGTCATGGCTTGTGTGTTGCCTCGGTGCTTCTATTTTGGTCGGCATCGTTTTTTGCAAGTCTGTGTGTGAACCGTGGGATTGCACTTCAAGTTTAATTGAAAGTTCTGTTCGATACTCCATATGTGAGAAAACAATGCATCATCGAGCAACGCGCACCCAAAGCATTCGCCAGATCTTGGTGCATGCTTTGTATTGGGGTTGGCAGCTGGGTTCAACTTTTTCGTGAAAGATCTATCAAAGGTCTTTGCTTTCATATGTTTTCCTTCCACCGACCGACAAGTGGTAGAAATTCAAGGCAATCCTCCGGCACAGCCGGTGGGCGGAAGTGTCCCCGCATGTCCCCACTGTGACAGACTATCGAACTGAAGCCTCAACGTTTCCTTGCCCACCCTGGCAGCGCGTAAAGGATTCTCCGATTCCTGTCTCCACCGTCCCAGACTGGCACAGACTCGCAGCCTGACAACTTAAATTGTTATTGCACAGCCGACAGGTTGTGCAGATGTTTGCACATGTTATCCCAGGGAAATCCACCAGTGAAATTTTGCGAATGTAAAGTCTAAACTCCAAGCTTGAGGCCCCCCAGCATACTCCGATCTGCGTGACCCTGAGTTGGTAGCTGGGACGAGGATTGGGTTGAGTCGTGCCTGACTATTCTAAGCCTCCTTAGGATATTGTTTGTCGCGCAGATGTTGCACATGCTGCAAGTGACCATGAGTGAGTAGCTGTGGCAACTCTCAACCTTGTGCTGGGGTCATGCTGCAAGATGTCGGTCCTATTTTGTGATACAAACATATAGTTCCAGTTCATGTTAACTAGACATAACTAGACATGGTTTTAGGACCATGCTTCGCGATGAGGCCGCGAACGATCTGCAGTGTTTTTCGCGAAGGATGGCAATTGCGTCACGAAAAATATTGATCAACCACCATATATGTATATATACACCTTTGATTTTGCAATTCCCCAGATGCCGGGATTTGCTTGTTTTTCTGAATATGTTTCGCGGCTCAAAGTCTCAACTGAGGAACTTTTGTGAAGGGCCATCATTCTGCCACAGGGCAGCAAGCTGGTGGCCAGTGAACATGATTTGGCGTTGGCGATTGAACGGGTTTAGTTTGACTTGCCGTTGCACCAAAAACATGTCACTCTCACACCACTGGACTTCACGCATCTATTCATAGAAACCGTCAAAATTGGCAACAGTTGAACGATTTGGACAGCCACATGACCAGGCGCCGATCTACTTAGCCAGACATGGCTCGAGTCCACATGACAGCGCCCCGCCAGGAGCTCCATCAGCTGAGACGCTTCGAGCTGAGCTGGTACCGTGAGCGCTTCGACCGGTGCTCGGTCGATCGCAGGTGTCTTTAGTAAATTTGAATGGCTTTAGTATCAAACGGTCAATGTAAATTCAATGGTCAACACACCCACGGTTGGGCCAGACATGTGGACCATCAGTTCAGAAATGACAACAGTTTCTTGGGCCAAGATCGGGATTTGGTTTGCACAGACTTTGGGGTGAGGCCTCACCTTTTGACTGGCTGTTTCAATGCATCCAAGCTTGGACCATGGCCGGGCCTCCAAGGTCCTTCAACACACCCGTGCATCGTCGCCATTTGCCCGTCCGACCCTCGCGGATGACAAGTGAAGCAAACGAGGAAGAGGTGGACATTGGATTCGGCCCTAGCGGGTCTTTAGATGTCTCTAATAGATTTAATTATTCACACTTGCAGGTAGCTTGCGGATGCAAGTTTTATGTTCACTGAAGTTCACAAAATGTCCCACCGGGACATTTTGGCTCAAGTTGGTGGCAATCACACGCAGGAGAAGGCAGACCAGGTGTCCCAGTTGCAGGCCACGGTCTTGGCACCCATCCAGGAGGGCATGCAGTCGGTCCCTGACAGCCAGGTTCGGAACGCTGGCTGAAACCTCCTGCGGAAGGTCAACCTCATGGACTTCAAAGCGGTGCTGAAGAAGAGGATGTTGGAGGAGGCCTCGGGCAGCACGGAGGATTCCCTCAAGGCCGCAGTCACCTCCCTGGAGAAGGCCAAGGAGGCAAACAAAAAGATTCAAGACCAGGGCACAGCCTTCATGGAAAAGTTTGCCCTCACCCCCACGGAGCTCTCGGCCTGGCCGGATGACCTCAAACAAAAGCTGGAGGCACCAGGTTCCGGACCCCTCGGACATGTTGCAGCACTACCTCCCGGCCATGAGGGCGCTGCAGAACGGCCAGAACCCTTGGGCTGACAACCCCAAGCTGCTGGAGGAGATGCCCGACCTCAAGCACACGGTGGCCACCGCGGCATCTGGAGGCTTCAACCCCTGGTGCCGATGGCCCAGCGGTGACCGGCCCTGGCATGGCAACTCTCAACGAGATGGACGAGGAGGCCAAGAAGCTGGCCATGTTGCTTTGGGCCTTGAAGGTGCACCGTGGTGAGCTCCGAATGTTTGGTGGGGTATGGCGCCGGGTGCCTGAGTTTAGTCCGCCCCTCCCGGACTGGGCCCAGCCAAAGCCCGGGGCACTCACGCCCAAGGAGGTGGACCGCTACCGGGCACTGGAGCGCCGGACCCACCCGAGTTCCTTCGGCGCGGATATGGTGGAGCCCTTCCACTACACTGACCAGGAGGTGGAGGCACAACGGCAGGAGGGGACTCGGCCCCCACTGGGGTCCATCCTCTCGATCTGGTGGGCAGATGACACTGACAAGGACGAGAAGTGGCGCCGGGAGAGCGGCACATGGGGCTTGAAGTCCCTCATCCACATCTACTCGATGCGGTACACCTTCAAGTACATCTACAGCTTGTGGTGCAGCCTCCCTCTGGCCATCGAAGCCAAGCAGCGAGGCAAAGATGCTCCCACTGGGAGGCTAGGAATGGTCCAGGTGCCTTGGGCCCTGTACCCCCTACACCACCTCCCAGTGAACCAAAGCGTGGAACCGGCCTTCACTTGGATGACCGACATCCCGGACAGATTGCGGCGGCGTCTTCACTGGACGCGGGTCCCACTTCCACCAGAGGCCAAACCAACCATTCTTCTACTCTATGCCGGAAAGGATGATGCGGGCTCTTTGGACTCCTACCTCCATGCCTGGTCTCGGCGATTGACATTCGACGAGACAAGGGGCCCCTCGGCCAGGACATGCTCCAGGCCCCCCTCTGGAAGCGGGACTACTTTTATTCGTTGGGGGCGGCCCCAACTGCCGCACCTGGAGCATCCTCCGTTGGTTCCCCAAGCCCAACGCCCCGAGGCCAGTGAGGGGGCGCAGTGAGCAACAAGTGTGGGGCCTTCCGGCCAACGCAACAGAGGAACAGCTTGACACAGACAATGACAGCATGCTGGTGCTCCGCCAGATGTACCTAACCTCACTGGCATACCAAGGCTTGGCCCAGTGCCACCCGCCGCGGGTGGGATACTCCTTTCTGGAGCACCCCAGGGACCCCATGGAGGTCAGCGCCAGCCCCCAGGCACACAAGTGCTCATCCCTGTGGGTGACCCGAGCCTGTATCAAGTGGGCTAACCAGTTGCACCACCACCGCATTAAGTTTGACCAGTGTAGACTGGGCCAGATGGTGGTCAAGGCCACTACCCTGTCGACAGACCTCCCACTGCACCACTGGCAGGATCTCCGCTGCAACCACTTTGGGCACCAACCCGTTGGGGGACCTCCAATCCAGCGACCTTAGCCGCTATCCAGACCAGATGATGCTCGACTTGGCTCAGGCCATCGCCAAGGTCCTCCAGGTCCCACCCAAACCCACCACCCAACATTCCGGGGCCACGGACCAACCTCCTCCTCCCAAGAGGTCCAGGGAGGAGGGCACGAGGGACACAAATCCATCCCGGGCTATCGCAGGCCTTACCCATGGCAGCACCGCTGCCAACGCAGCCCCCCCCATTCAACGGCGGGGGACACCTGGCACACCAGTACAACTTGGCAAGTACGATCCAATCTCAGAGGATCTCTCACTCTACGATCCTCTGATGCGCCTCCAGGTGGCATTCAAGACCAGGCCACTGCGGGACGGGGGAGGCAAACCCTCTTGGGGCCGGATCGCTCCATGGGCTCGACCGGCCTCCACGCTGGCCCGCTTAGGAGCCAAGATCCTGGCGCTGACCACTCCATTCACTGATCAAGTCATGTGGTCGATTACGTGTGGGTCGAAACAGCACCCCTACCCGGACCCACTGCTGGAGGACATCAGGCAGATCCTCCACCCCGGCCACCAACATATCACACCAGACGGACAACCCTTCTACTTGGAGCTGATCGGGGACCCAGACTGGCAGTACCCTCAGATTCTCACCACATACGTTCCTCTGGGGGTCTCGGAGCCCACCCTCCCCTCACCATGTGGCCTCTCAAGAGTGAGCTTGCAGGGGAAGACCCAGTGGAAGCTCCACTGGACGACCCCAAGGGACACCACAATTACCCATCGGCAGCAGACTTCTCCAGAGAAATTCGGGCCACTTTCGCAGAGGAAGTCGCAATGGGCATGACAGTCGGCCCGCTATCCAAACAACAGGCGGCTGATCTCTGTGGCTGTGACCCGACAGCCCTCTGCCCAGGTCCCCTGGCAGGAATCGACGAGGGGGATAAGGTCCGCACCATCTATGATGGATCGGTTGGAGGCGCGAATGCCAAGATCCAACAAAACACTAAGGAACGGACCACAGCACCCACAGTTCTAGACTGTGTCCACGCCATTCACTGGCTCCATGCCGCCAGACATACCGAGGCTTGCACACGCCCCCGGCTTAGCCCAGGAGCCTCTGGCCCTGAGCGGGCAGGGGGCCTAGACGACCCAATCCCAACCTGGGAGTGGCCCACCAAGGACAGCCAATGGATCCTACTGAAAGCTGATATAACTAAGGCCCACCGACGAATCAAAGTCCTGCCCCAAGACTGGCGCTTCCAGGTAGCACAGTTAGACGACGAATGGTGGGTCAACAAAGTGGGCACCTACGGCATGGCAAGTGCGCAGCTCTACTGGGGCAGAATGGCGGCCTTGCTCCTACGGATCCTCTATTACCTCTTTCCTCAGATTGACTGGGGCTTTGTCTTTGTCGACGACTTCTGCTGGCTCCTTCGCTTGCCCACAGGACCGCAATACACTGCGGCTCTCTTGGGCACACTAGTGGCTTTGGGTACGCCCCTCAGCTGGAAGAAGACCCACCTGGCAGAGATCAATACTTGGCTTGGGTTCGTGATCCACCCGGCCATCCCTCTCATGGAGCTCCTGGAGGAGCTCGCCAATGGATCCAGCCAAGGCCATTGAGAAGGCCATGGGCCGGATCCAGCGGGCCACGGCGTGCTGTCCTTTGACCAAGTCCCTGCTCCAACCGCTCTAAGCTTGGAAGATGGCGGTCAAGACTATGGGCAACCCACCCAAGGTGGTCCGCATGTTGGCTGCCCTCCTGAAGGAGCTCTTCACGCACCCCTTTGAGCAGTACTCACCTTTCCTGCCAAAGTCGCCTTGGTGGGGATGCAGTGATGCTAGTGCATCGAAGGCAGGTGAAGCCTATGTTGGGGGCTGGTGCTCGACCTCCCCAAACCCCACCAAGGACCAGGTCCTCTGGTTCCACTATGCCATGACAGCAGATGCCCATCCTTGGGCGTTCAAGGATGGCAACCCTCAGAAACGCATTGCTGCCTTGGAACTCCTGGGCACACTGCAACAGGGCCAACTACCGGGAAGAGTTCGCCTCCCGGTGGGCAGTGACAACTCAGGCAACATCTTCAGCCTGCTCAACCTCTCGGCCAAGAAACCATACTCGGCGGCACTGCTCATGGAATTGGTTCTCTTCCTTCATTGTGAGGGCTGTAGCATTGCTCCCAACCACATCCCCAGGGAATACAACACCTGGGCGGATGAATTGACTCATCCTGACTTTGAAGGATTCTCCTTAGATCGCCGGTTACCGGCACCGGAGACTCTCTTCATTTTTCCTTTCGCTACAAAACTTTTGTCCTCAACGGGTTTTTCCTAGCTGCCCACCCAAGATCCCGTGACCGGATCTGGTGGGCTGTCCTCCCGACCCTGTCCCCTGGCACCTCGACAGGTGCCTGTTGGCCCTGGGAGGCCAGGGGACAATCGGGTGTTGTGGCAGCGACGGGCGAATCCTACTGCCTGACACACCCTTGTCCCCCTGGCGAAGTCCAGGGCAGTTTGAAATGGACTAAACGATACAGGGTCTGGGGGAGGACCCCAGCATCAACCAAAGCGCATTGGAAAAAGCATGCCTGCAGCTTTTTGCGCTCTTGGGATCTTTTTGACTTCTGGGTACATAATAGCTTCTCCAAAATGATCCACTATAGACAAGCATGGCCAGTTCATGCCGGATGGAGGGCTGCTTCTCCCTTTGTTTCGTTTGTCAGGGGTGGGATAGATATGGAGGCGGAGCTAGCGTGTTTTCCTTAAGCTTTATCCAAAAACCGAAAAGACCTCGCTCAGGCGATCCTTGCGGTCCTTGGAGTGACTCGACAGTGAAGGGTTGACACAGCGGCCAGTGACAGACTCGCTCTGCTCCATGAAAGGGCTCTGGTTTCAACAACAAAGACCACTTGACGAGCAAAAACGGGTTCAGTTCAACGGGTCATCGTGGGATGCGCGGTCCAATAAGATTGGCGCTTGTGCGAGCCAATCTGACAGGGAACTTTTTTGAGGCCATGACGGCCTGATGATTGGGTCTGGGTCCAAAGAGTTCGAAAAAGAAGGGAGGATCCTCAACCCTAACAAGCTGGACCTTGTTCATGTTGTAGTTTTGGTGTGTTTTTGTCTCAGGAAGTCGTTGGAGTCGTTTGGATTCGCTTTCCAGCAACGCCCCCAGGCGAGGCCAGCGGACGCACTGAGCTACTTGGAGATGTGTCCAGTCGAGCGCGGTCTGATGACATGGCATGACCATGTGCCCTAGGGCACTCGCACTTGTGTTCGTAGGGCACTCGCACTTTCGGACACTTGTGAAGCTGTAGGCTTGCTCGTTTGCAGGAATTCACACGAACTCGACCTCTTTGTTAATTCTTGTCCCGGTTTTCAAGCTGTCGGCATGTCAATCATGGCAACCATGTCGATGCCTCCGCAAAGCGACCTCAAAAAGAGTCAAACGGTCAGCGATCTCCGCACTTGGCTCCGATAGTCAACGCTTAGGGGTCTTCTACTTTTTGCGGAAGATGCGCTGTCATAGAGTGGGAAGATGTCTAGTGAAGCCTATTGGAACTACTCAACTACTCCTCACACTTGGCATAAGAGGGGTTGGTGCCAAGAGGAGGCTTGGGAAGAAGCCAGAGTTTTCGGTTTTCACTTGTCATAAGCATGCCAGCCAACACCCAAACAACGGCATTTCCGGAAATAGCTCTTGCCGAACACCCAAGCAACGACAATCTAGGCCTCCTTCTGGAACGGGCCGACCCAGCCTAGGCAAGGATGAGCAGCTGGTGACGTCACTCTTCGAGCGAGTCACCCCTGGAGTGGTGTCCATCGCCAAGGAGGCACCACCGCCGGGGGTTGGGAGCCCCAGCTTCTTGAGATGAACATAGAGTTCTGAACATAGACTGCCAGTTCATTTCCAAAAACCTTTCTAGACAGCGGATTGCTACATCACTGTGAGGCTCTCAACAATCGAACACACGAAAATCCATGGCCTCTCCCACGACCCAAAGCGGCCGCGCGGCACGCTGCCAATTTTCTTCGGTGCGGAGCCACACGGCTCAGGATTCGACTGGAGCCAAACCGTCCGCTGGACTTGCTGGAAGTGGATTTGTTTGGGACAACCGGCATGAGCCGCGCCCAGCATGTGTGTTCTGTCAGAATGATTCGAGCAGACAACAGAAAGGCTACCACATGTCCAGCCTCGTTGATCTGGTTTTGTATTAACTGGCTTTTGTTATGGGCACCTGGTACTGGTAAGATGAGCCACTGAGCGGATGAGCCACTGAGCTTACTATGCTTGCTACGCTTGCTGATGTTGTTCACAGGTCGCCCCTTGCTTCTCGAGGTTGTGACCAATTACAATGTCATCAATGAGATGCAAACGCCCGGCCGCAGCTTTCATTTTAGGTTCTACAGGAAAAGAGTCAGTTTCAAGGAAACGCATCAAAGGGCATGACCAACGGGAGCACGGACACAGGCTCCAACGATACTCGCAGAACCGAGCACAGATCAGGGGAGATTCAGAAAGTTTCCTGTTGCGAAGGTCCGTGGTACTGTCAATTGGTCGCTGTGAAGCAGTTTAGTCGCTCTACCTTTTGAGGCCATATGTCACGTTCCTGCTGAACGACAAGTCAGGAGGGACACGGAGCCTTTAGCTGTTCAGCTTACTTTGACAGGTCAAAGAGCTTGCGAGGTTACTTGGAGTTCATTTTTAATCGAGCTGGGAACTAGAACTTCGGCCCTGAAATATCATGAAATATCCTAAAATGTGGTTACTCAGCTGCAAGCTTACGCCCTTTTGGGGAGAACGTTTTGACCATCCTGAACAGTGCTAAGTTGCTAAGTGCTACATTTGCCACGATGTTCATGGGTCCGGCAGTCTGACCAAGCCCTGTTGCCAGTGTGGGAAGGACAGCCTGAAAGTCTCACCACGACCTGAGAGTGTGGGCGAGAAACACTCCAATTGGGTTGCTTTTGCAGAATCTAGGACTTGAGCAGGTAAACTCAAGACTCAAGATGTATGACCTTCCAACATCAAGCATAAACAACATTCATTTTCGCCATCATAGATGAACATCTTGGGAATTTGTGAAACAACCAATGCCAGCATGAAAGCCTTTTGGAAGTTCACCAGCTGATCCATCCCAGAGAGGATGCAGGCAAGTGCAGTGCTTTACTTGAACTGTTTGCGACAGGCAACAAGCGCCTCACCTTCTTGGCCCAGGTGGTGGGTTGGAAGACTCAGCCGCAATAGGGCAAAAGGGCTTCAAAAAGCAGAAGTTCCAGGGAGGTCTGAAGTCAGGGACACTTGTGAGGATTTTGGCACGTCGTTGGATCATTCCGGAATGTGCGAAGTTTGGCTAGTCCGTTTTTTTCCACCAATCTGGTGCTACAACATGCTGCAGGTTACGACACCTCAAGCAATGTCGCAGTCTTGGAGGTGCAAAACCAGGAGACTGGTGAATGGTGTGGCATGGATGGACTTGGAATTCAAGGACCCTGTGATAAAAACCCACAACTCACTAGCCTGAGCTCGCTAGGGCTCCAGACGACTTCCAAAGACAACTACCAAGAGTGTGTTACCGTGTTGCCAGTGATCCAGATTAGGCGGGGGAGATTCAACCTTCATCAGTTTGGGAGCTTCTATTCCGTTATATAAATATAATTACCAGCATCTTACAATGACATAGACAGAACATGACAGAACGATGGATGCTCGGGCAAGGTTGTTCAACAGGTTGCACCAACCTTCCCCGAAGATGGACATGGAAGATCACAACTCCCGGGCTTTTTGTCTGAACAGAGGAGGGTTCTCCATGCCCATATTGGCCGCATATATATAATATATATATATATATCATATCCACGACGAGTTCTGGCAATTGGCCTTCCTCTCCAGCTGTCACATCATCGGGTGCACGACAACTGTTGGCTGCCACATTTGTGCAGGATAACTCCAGCCTGCCCAAAGGCGATGGATGTCTTCGTACTTGTAAGATGATGGATGCGCAGTACTCGAGGTGTATTGATGAGGTCGACATTCACTTTTGCCGGATTTTCCTGAACGTCGACAAACTCGACTCATGACTCCAATCTTATAGTTCCCATTGGTATGACCCTTGTGGTGCCGCTGGATTGGTTCCTGGTAGGCCAGGTGTTTGTCAGTTTCCCATGCCAGTTGTTTCGATTCATGGTGCGATGGGTTTCAACGCCTCCTTCTTTCCATTGCGCGGCACTCAATCTAAGACAGCACCATCTTTCAGAATGGCAGCAGGTCTGATGCAACCACTTGAGCGTGGTCATTCTGACAAGCTCATGGTCGGCGTGGCGGCTTAGGGTGCAAGGAAAGACTTCGATTTCGATTTGCCCAATCTTCAGCGAGGGAAACTATATAGTAAAATTGTAAAGTTGATTCAAACACTGAATTGTTTATTTGATGTGAGGAGGCGAGCAATCGAGGGTGAGCTGTGCATTCGGACTGTATGATGCGATGCTAATGCTTGTTCCCAGGGTGCCCTGATAGAATCAGCTGAATCTCACTGCTTTTTGTTTCTGCTTGACAGTTGTGCCAACTCACTTGTGGCTACTTTTTTATGTGTGTTCGCTTACTGCAACGCTGCAACACTCGGTCAAGTCATCCCTTAGATGCCTCTTTTCCTGCTCCTCCTTGCGAAAAGCCTTTGTGAGCATGCTTGCGATACTGTAATTCCTTCCTCTCTGGCTTTTCTTCTAAGATGTGACCCCATGTAATGTACAGGAACGGCTTTTGGCAGGTCAAAACGTCTTCGCTTTTGGCAATCCATTCGGTTTGGAGCACAGCCTCAGCCGGGGCATCATCAGTGGTGCCATCTCCTTAGCTGTTCCTGTATTTCTGTCTGGGAGGTGACAAACTCTGTGTGTTTAGTGGTGTCAAAACTCAAAACACCTTGACTTGCAAGGGGGCACGGAAGCACTGGGTTTGCAGAGTGGGACAAGTTGGCGAGGTGTCGCGAAAGATGGAGGGCAGCGGTGGAAGGCCAATCAGCTACTTGGACTATTGCGAACTCCGGTGGATGACGGGCATAGGTATCAAAAAAAACAAAACGAGCATCAAAAAAAAAGAAGAGAGGATCAACATAAACATAATAAGCGAATAGGCCTCTTCTGCTGCTCTCCTGGCCCTGTGGTCTGCGGGTCCTCTGGTAATAAGGTCCCTTGGTCCTTTGGTCCCTTGGTCCTCTGGTCCACTGGTCCTTTGGTCCCCTGGTCCCTTGGTCTTTTGGTCGACTGGTCCCCTAGTCCTCCGGTCTCCTGGTCCTCTGGTCCTGTGGTCCGCTGGTCCCCTGGAATCCTGGTCCTTCTGTCTCCTGGTCCGCTGGTCTCTTGCTCTCCTACTCCGCTCGTCTTTCGGTCTCCTGGTCCCCTGCTTGCACAAATAGAGGCTTGATTGCTTTCTACTAGAGGCAGCTCCCTGGGCGGAAAGTAGGTACCCAATGATGGTAGCCGTCCAGTCATTGAGTAGCCCTACTCGAAAAATGGTTCACCAGTAGAAATAGCTCCCTACTAGGAAGGAGCTCCTAGGGAGGTACACTCTCCTAGTCCCTTTCTCCTTCCATCCTTTTCCCTTGGTCTCCTAATCCTGCTACTGCTACTGCTACTACTACTACCCCAACCATCCTCAGTGGGCTAGAATATGTTTTTTGATTTTTTTTATTGATCCCCGTTGAATATTTTTTTGATTCTATTTTTATTTCCATTTTGATCCCTTACCCTGGAGGACGGATGCGTGTGGTCGTGACGACGTCGTGAGGTGGAGTGATCCAAACAGATGCCAGCATCAATCCTGGAAACAGTGGTGGGCCATTGCTCAACAGTGATGGCGAGGTCGGACCAGCCTCAAGTATGGCCGAGCACATAGAGCAATATTTTATATTTATGTGGCCCTCATAGTAATCTCTGTAATGTGGAACAGTTTGCCTCGGATTCACAGCGAGAAGCACTGCATTCAGCATCGGGGCGAAGTGAAGAACGGCGGTGGTGACAGGTCATTGGCGTGAACACTGCCATTCTCTCGGGAAGTGGGATGTTTGCTGGAGTCGGTTGGAGGCTCAGAAATCTGCTGAAGTTTTTTGATTCAAGGTGCCAGACAAGCGCTGCAGTGCAGGATGATTTCTCCAAGAGTCGAAACTGCAAACCTGTAGAAACTTCACACACTTTGATCAACTGTCGCAGCACAACCATGGACCATGGACCATGGACCACCCGTTCGAGAATTTGGTATGTAGAAAAAGAAATGCACCTCCACCTCCACATCCACGCATAACATGCAGTTGGCACTGAGGACTTGCTGTGCCGATCGACACCGTGTCCAAAAATGTGGAAAGCATCATCTCCAAAGGCCCATGGAGTCGCGCGAAACGCGAAATGTTCAGCATCGAAACCGAGCGAGCTGAAAAGCCTGAGGGTGAAACACACATGCAGCCGCCAAACGGCCCCTTTGGGAGCGAGCTGCGCTTTCGGCCCCTTTCGGTGGCCAAGGCTTTGTGAAGCGGCCGCTGCTGGGGTTGATCTTTGCGCCCGATGCCACTGGTCGAATCGCAAGTGGTTCAGGTTCAGTTTGGTGGAGTTGACCCACATGGGTTGACACTTCCACACACTTTTCTGTTTTTCGAAGCCATGTTGTATTTCATGTTTTCGAGGTCATGGACCAAGAGCTTCAACTGAATGGCATCATGGTCATGAAGGCTGGGGCAAGGGTGAAGGCCAATGGGCAAAGAAGTCCGCGGCAAAGATGGATGCTATAATTTACCGAAAGAACGGCAAGTAGGATGAAAATCAGAGTGAAGCGAACTGACCTTTCTCTTTTGCATGTATAACTGTATAACATATACAATCCCTTACCGTTGCATGTCTTGTCTTTATTTGAACTTCATTCACTTCGATATGGAGGTCATCCCTGGTGGCCCAGCGGAAAATGCTGGAGTGCGGCCAATGCGTCGAGCTGGCTCCTTTTTCTTCTTTATCAGACGACTTCTTGACGCAGATTGGCACTGTCCTTTTGTTGGTAGTGACTTGGTAGTGTTTTCTCTCCTTTAAGTCCTTTAACTACTATCTCATAAAGAGAAGAGAAGCAACATAAAATTATTGTAGTATCCCGACCAGTTGAGGGGTGGGTTGCTAGTTTCAGAAACTGGAGATCTGGGCTTGAATCGAAACTTGAAACTATCTACTGTAGTGAGCGGGCTGCTTTTGGGTCAATTGGCGGTGCTGGAGATGGACTCGATGGAGTCTTTGTGGCGATGGTTTGTTTCGGTACATTTCGTGAAACTTTGTTCAAGTTGTGAATTTGCCCGAATCCATGAGATGAGTTCAGCAAGGGGCTCACAACTTCAACGGCATCATAGGACCTTAGGATTTTCGATAGTCTCATGTCATAGACTCATCCGCGACCCACACATCCCTTCAGACGTGTTGTTTCTTTCGACTGAGGCTAAGGCCGAGGTAGGACAACAGAGTCATCAGATAGATGGGTTTGTCTCAAGAACGGAACCATATTCTTGAACACCACGCAAGGTTTGTCACCTTCTGACTTATTATGACAACCTGTCTTTTCGACATAAATCCGACATCGGGGAATTGGCATTCCAGGTGGCGGACGCTTGGGAGATGTGGTCGTTGCCATGGATGGCCAGCACCATGCCCAAAAACGTGATTCCTTTGTTTTTGGACTCGTCCCCTCGGCCTCGGCCTCGCGACGTCGTCCTGAGGAATATCTCCTCCACGGACGACCTCTTTGGGCTGCTGGAGTCCCGCGCTTCTTGGCCTCGGACAGTCCCACGGCAGACTCGAAGACGCCGCTTAGACGTGCGGAGAGTTCGGAGAAAGCAGGAGTCTAAGGAGAAACGACATAATTAGAAACACCGAGGCTCCGGGGGACACCGTGAAGCTGAAGCTTCAGCGGCCCAATGCTGATTTGGACAGTGATGAGTCAGAAGCTCAGATCTAGAAGATCAGAGTGATTCAGAAGGTCATCATGATCATCCAAATGCAGCAGCTCCAAAGCCTGAGCTGACAACAAACAGTTATGAAAGGTATATTGTGTTTTTATATTTTAGCTGTGAGGCGATATCAAAGACACCTGTTTCAAGAGTGCTTCAGGTTGCAAGAAATTGAAGTTCCCATCAAGTTGGGCCAGGCCAACAAACCTGGGGGTTGGTGAGGAAAGCTGGAGGAAATGTTGGACCTTGCGAGAAAAGAGCGTTTTCTTTTCCTGAATGTTCAATCCGGTAAGCCACGAGAACAGTCTTTTTGTGTGAAGAAAGCGCAACCTTAGCATTTGGACATTTAGGAGGCTGTGGTGGGCAATATCATGGTATAAATGTGGAAGCCCCGAGGCACACATGACACAGCTATCATTTCTTTGTGTACATGCGCATGATAACTTCTCTACACATGTTGTTGCCAGGCCACAGACAAGTGACGCGAAGACATCCGGTCTTCCACGAGAAGGACCGTGATGCAGGTGACCTGGGCGCTCCACGGGCTTTTGTTGAAAGACCATGAACATTTTTGGTAGTCCATGGGTTTCCTCTGAGTGGGTATTGGATGTGCAGGCTTTCAGCAGCGATGTACATGGGGGTAAGAACTAAGTGGACTTATGAATTTATGTAACCACTGCCAAACCGGCCGCTTGCGAGATACACATGGTTTAAGTTTAGTCCAGGCACGGGATGCAAACACTGACAAGCAGCCGAAAACCTTCGTCAACTCCGGGACCTGAAGACTAACAACATCATACAACAAGAACTTCTTGCAAGCGAGCTTTGTGGATTCCTCTCCCCGCATGCACAGGCAATCATGAAACAGAGGATAGCCAAGCTTGTTTGATTGACACAGATCATGATGTGTGAATACCATGAACTCACAGATCGATGCCCTGCATCGATCTGTGACCAAGCTTTGCTGCATGGATCGGTGATGAATCGCATGGCGCTGTGGCAGTTCCACTCTAGGTCCAAACGGCGCTGTGGAGAAACCATGAGAAACCTGCTGTCGAGCTATCCATGTCATTGCAGGTGAGGCATGTGGGGGCCAACAATGAGTATTTCCCCGGTACATATCGAACAAGAATGTAAAAGGAAAACACACCTTCTATTAGGATGGAGGCCATTGCTAGTAGGTTGGAGAAGGCCATTGCTATCAAGTTGGAGGCCATTGCTATTAGATTGGAGGCCATCGCTATTAGGGGGAGGCCATCGCTATTAGGGGGG